TTCTGTAGGGGAGCCTCAACTGTGCTTTGAAAGTATCCCACTTAGATTATTTAAAATTAGTTCCCTTACTTAAAGTCAACTAATTGTGGACTTTAATTACATTTATAAAATATATTCATAGCAACACCTAGATTTGTGTTTGATTCAGTAACTTGGCACTATACTCCAGCCAAATTCACATATAATAATATTCATCATACCAAACAAAATCTCAATTTGATTGAGAAAAGATAGTTGATAAACATTAACACTAAGGTGACACAGGTGGTGGAATTCTCTGATAAGGATTTCAAAGCAGCTGTCATTAAATATATTATAATGAGCAATTACACTCTTGAAACAAATGTAAACTATCAAAAATCTCAGCAAAAGAATAAAAGACAAAGAAAAATAAAATGAAAAAAATTAATTAAAAAGTAGAATAACCAATTTTTTTAATCAATGATGTGCAAGAAAGTGGCACATTTTTAAGTACTGAAAGAAAAGTACTGTCTATATCCAGGGAAAAATAATTTCACAATGAAGATGAAATAAAATCATTTGCAGAAGGAAGGAAGCCAGAAGAACTTGTCATCAGCACATCTGCTCCAAGGAACATATAAAGGAAGCTCTTTAAACTCCAAACTTTTACCAATTATTATTTACAAGAATTAGAAGACAAGAGAAAGATTAAAAGCACATATATTTCTAAACCATTTATCTAAATGCATGCATTTTTAATGATTAACACTTTAATAAATAAATATCACATTTATAGAACTCTAAATATTAGTTTTGAAAGAATTTAAAACAAGAGTAAGATTATAGTCTCAGTAACATATATTCAGATAAAGCAAAACTTGACTATAAATTTATAACTTAAAGATAGTTACTACAGTAGAAAAGGTGGGCGAAGAATATGAATAGATGATTCATAGAAAAGTAAATCCACATTACTAAATATGTGAAAACATTTCCAAGTTTCCAAGCAGTCATAAAAAATATAAATTAAATGACAAGTAGAAATCTTTTTCTACATATCAGATTAAAATTGTAAAAGGAATGATTCCACTGGCTGGTGCAAATGATGATAGGGGATATACACTGAGTGGCCAGATTATTTTGATCAGCCAGATTATTATGACCACCCCATCAGTACTTTGTTGGGCCACCTTTTGCCTTCAATACTGCGGCGATTCTTCTTGGCATTGACTCCACAAGATGTTGAAAGGTGATGCTAGGAATCTGACACCATGCCTGATGAATAGCACTGTCCAGTTCTGTGAGATTTGATGGTTGTGGAACAAGCTGCCTGATGGCTCTTTTAACTTCTTCCCACAAATGCTCAATTGGATTGAGATCTGATGATTGGGCCACCTAAGCAAGGTAAAGTCTATCTCATGTTCTTGAAACCACTCCTGCACAATAGGAGCACCGTGGCATGGCGCATTGTCTTGTTGGAAGAAGCCATCTCCATGGGGATATGCCATCAACATGATAGGATGACCTTGATCAGCAACCATACTTAGGTATGTTGTGCTATTCAGAGGTTTATAATGTTCTGGCCCTCTAGCAACTTCAGCACAAAATTATAGCTAATTTGCCTATAAACATCAGGTGGTCATAATAATCTGGCCACTCAGTGTATACTTATTATTACTGGTGGACATGTGATAGGTTTATATTAAATAATCTTTATGTGCTAATGATTGATAAGCTTTTTGGAAAGTAATAGTCAAATAGTTATTAAAATTCCCATATCTTTTTCTCAAAATCTACTCCTGGGAGTCCATTTCATTGGCACAACATGCTGGGGCTTACCAGCAGACCCTGAGCAATGGATAAATTATCACTCTGACTGACACAGGATTGCTGTGAAAGAGGGGGATAAAGGACTGCCTTGTTAAAGGAACCAGACAGCCGCATCTGCCTGCCTCTTCAGGCTTTTATTGTAACAGCAATTTTGGATAAAGTTTATCTTTTAGATACAATCAGTAGGGTAACTGATCTTGGAAGGACACATGTGTCTGCAATGTCCTTTAAGCAAGGACACCCAAAGATTAAGCATAAGTGTTCCAGTAAACACCCGAGGGTCCACACGTGCACAGACTTGTTTGGAAAGTTCAAGGAACAATTAGGGGCACCGCCTTTAGCCAACTCCCCTAAATTAGAATTTCGAGAAATAGGGGTGGGCTGCCTTCAGCTAACTTCCCTTTTTGAAATTTCCTCCTTACAAACTTTCCAACCAAGTTTTCTCTGCTTCCCTACAATAACAGTACCCACACAAAAAGATGTTTATGAAAGCATTGTCTGTAGAGATAAATTTTAGAAACAAAAGGAATCTCATCAATAAGTGAAGGGTTAAATAAACCATAAAATACTGATGTCCAAACACAGAACACTATACTGATGTTAAAAAATATGATGTTGATGTATATAACAAACTGACTTCGATTTTTATGTTATTAAAATAATAAACTAAGATACAGAAAAGTGTAAATAATACAGATCCATTTTAAAAAACAAAAATATATGTGTATATAACCAAATGTGTGTGTATTTGAATGCATTTTTATGTAGCCATTACCGTAGAGGTCACTGTGCAAGGATACACATCACAGAGTTAACATTTGGTCCAGCCAGCATGGCTTAATGGTTGAGCATTGACCTATGAACCAGGATTTTACAGTTTGATTCTTGGTCAGGGCATATGTCCAGGTTATGGGCTCGATCCCCAGTGTTGGGAGAGGCAGCCTACCAATGATTCTCTCTTATTGTTGATGTCTCTCTCTCTTCCTCTCCCCCTCTCCCATTCTTCCTGAGATTACATCAATATCTATCTATATATATATAAAGAGCCAGGGGCCGTCACATCCAAAATAACTGAATGGATGACCAAACAGGCTGAGTGGGGCGAACAGGCTGGCGGGGGGGGGGGGCAGTGAGGGGTGACCAGGCCGGCAGGGGGCACAGTTGGTGGCAACCAGGCCGGCAGGCGGGGCAGTTAGGGGAAACCATGCTGGCGGGGAGAGGCAGTTAGGGGTGACCAGGTAGGCAGGCAGAGGTGATTAGGGGGTGATCAGGCTGGCAGGGGGGCCAGTTAGGAGTGATCAGGCAGGCAGGTAGGTGAGCAGTTCGGAGCCAGCGGTCCTGGATTGTGAGAGGGATGTCCGACTGATCCCCAGAATCAGGCCTAAACTGGCAGTCAGATATCCCCCGAGGGGTGCCGGATTGGAGAAGGTACAGGCTGGGCTGAGGAGACACCCCCCCCCCATGCATGAATTTCATGCACCAGGCCTCTAGTATATTAATATTTGTTACATGTAGCAGTGAGGGGCAGCCATTAGACAGAAATAGAAAGGAGTGTATGTGATGTAAAATGACTCAATATATTTTGATAAATGCTTAAGCCAAAAAAAAAAGCAAGAGCAAAATAAAAAACAAAATCTATGTATTCAGTAACAAGAGCCCTGAAACAATAAAGAAGAATAAAACTGTAAACAGAAATTAAGAGGAAAAAATATCCAGTGTAGAATATATTGAAAAAGTTTCAAACCTGTCCTCATACTAAATACCTCAGACTGTATGGTACATTTAACCACACTAGTTCAAGATTATTAACAATTCCTTAGAGATGAACATTTTAAAATTAATATATTTTATATTATGCATATCAATTTGTATAGAAATATGTGTTGTAAATTATATAAAGTTTTCACTTAAGATAATAAATATAAAACCACAAAGAAGCTTATTTTTCTTATGTACTTAACAAATGTATGTATGCCTTTGAGCACAAGGCAATTATAAGTGGTGGAGGGGGAGTGTAGCAAAACTATGTGAAATTTTCCTTTGAAAGCATTTGCTTCACTTCTGAAATTGTCAAATTTCCAAATGTGACAGATTCACATTTAGATTAAACTGTTTCACATGGTTTGCATTCTGGAGAGAACAAATAAACTTTTGAATAAAAACTGTATAGAGAAACCCATGTAACAAAATGTGAATCTGTATCAAAGCTAATTTATCTAAAAAAATGTATTGAGTGAGCGGGGACCCCAGTCAGTTCTTAGCTGATACAATTACAGTATCTGAAGTGATTTCCCTGCCAAATATATCTGTAATTGAATGATATCTGAGTTAGATATCTTCTTGCCAATTGCAAAAGGAAGGAAGGAAGGAAGGAAGGAAGGAAGGAAGGAAGGAAGGAAGGAAGGAAGGAAGGAAGGAAGGAAGGAAGGAAGGAAAGAAGGGGAGAGGGGAAGGGTTGTCTGTTAAAAATGAAAATTCCTATTCTTAATAGCACAAAATAAAGACAACTGATATTATTAAAAATAAAATTTAAAAGGTTCCCATTATTATTCTTGCCCTTCAAATAAGTAACAATTAAACCTAATTTGGGGATAAGTGAAAATATTTATCCAGAATGGCATCAGATTTGAGCAAAAATGTTTTCAAAAGATTATAAGATGATATACTCTGAATTCTTCCTGTGATATAATTTTTAAAATTCTTTATTAAAATAAAATTTTCTATACCATAGGTTATAAAAGTACCTATGCTAAATTTGATTTTTCTATCTAGGGCAGTGGTTCTCAACCTTCCTAATGCCACGACCCTTTAATACAGTTCCTCATATTGTGGTGACCCTCAATTTCATTGTTACAAATTGAACATAATTAAAGCATAGTGATTAATCACAAAAAACAATATGTAATTATATATGTGTTTTCCGATGGTCTTAGGTGACCCCTGTGAAAGGGTCATTTGACCCCCAAAGGGGTCAGGACCCACAGGTTGAGAACCGCTGATCTAGGGCTTTTTAAATAAACAATATAAATTAATTGGGACATAATGCACTTAAAGTACTTTCTCAGTAAAAACAGTTGTGATACTGAATCTACAATATGAAGAGTCACATAGACTATTAAGATCAATACTAATAAACATTATTTATTTGAAAAATATAAATATAGCTTGTTTTTAAAATTTTGACAACTTGCACCCCAAATTTTTTTTTGAAAAAATAATTTTTTATTGTCTAGAAATATATATAAAAAAAAATTTCCCACAAAAGATGCTATTCTCTCATTTCTCCATCTTCTTCTTCTTCTTCAACACCCCTGATATAAAGGACATTATTACACCTTATTAAAACTTCACCCAGGTGTCCAGACAAGGCTCTATCTATGTATTCTTCTGTGTTTGCAAGCTGCATGTTCATATAGCCATCTACAGATACCAGGTAGCCTTTGTACTCCATTCCCCACTTAAGTTTCACCATTACTGGCTTTCCTGTTAATCCGTTGAGGAAAGGTTTGGGATTGAGGGGCAAATTCATCGCGAGGACTAGCAAATGCTATAGGCTACTCGCCACCGACCCAGCTCTTATCCGTCCCTGGTGCCTGGAGTGCCTACCCCAGCTCCGACTGTGAGAAATCTTCACCCCAAATTTAACTGAATAAGTTATAGGCTGAAAACATTACTTGCAAATGAAAGCAGAAAATTCTACCTTAGATTTTATGCACACTCAAACTATTTGGATTTATAAACTTAATTACTTGAGTTCTGTTTGAAAAGTAGGTCATCAAACAAAAATGTAATGTTTTCAACATTTTCAACTGATTCATCCTCAGAGACAGAGACCAGATTGATCTACTAGGAATGCTCTTTTTGGGGAGCTGGAGTCGACAATGAAAACTCTATCCCCAGAACTGGTCCAACTTGTATACAAAACTGAAATGATCATGAAACAAAGTAGGGTTAGGAGATTACAGAAACACTGACCCAAATGGTCATAGCCACAGGAAGACACAAAGCCTGAGATTTTTTTTTTTAATTCAGAAAGACAGAGAACATTATATTGGCAAGCTGAATGAAAATGGGATGTGGGAAAAATGTGATGAGAGGGCTACTGCCCATAACCTTCTTCCTGTGGCTGACCCATGTAAGAGGTATATTCTTGAAAAGTAACTCTAATGAGTTTCATTAAATATATTGTTTCTTAATTTCAATCAGAGCTAGTATCCAAAACATACTTTTGAAGAAAGGGAAATTTCAACTCATGTTATGAGTGAAGAATCAGTTATCTCTGCTTTGTACATGAAAGATAGATGGCAGGAGGAAAAAAAAAATCACATGGATGGAGAAGCTAACATGGTGAGTTTTTGACATTCAATTATAAAATGAGATTTAAAATTGTATTTGTTCATGACATAAATATTTGCTGAATGTTTATTATGTAGATTGCATACTACTTAGCACTGTGTAAGACCAATTGAATGGCAGTAATTACAAATGATTTTTAAACATCAAGAATGCATTGTAACATATTACATCACACAATTCCACTGCTAGTGATTTATCATTAAAAATTGTCTGAATTTCATATTGAGAGTCAAGCCAGTAATTTTCCTGCATTACTATATTGGCAGGATAATTTGCTATAAGCTTGCTAAATTTTCATATATGATAATTATTTCAAAGTAGATCTTTATAAGTATTTCATTTATTTTCTTTTCTACTATCAAATCATGGACTTTGGTAAAAATGTTATAGGCAATTAAAAATCATGCATTTTTATAACCATCCAACTCTAAAAAAGGATGCTTTTCACTGGAATTAATAATACTAAAGGAGAGCATAGTTGGTTTGTCTCAGTGGTTGAGTATTGACCTAGGAACCAGGAGATCACGGTTAGATTCCTGGTCAGGACACATGCCCTGGTTGCAGGCTCTATCCGCGTGGGGGTGTGCAGGAGGCAACTGATCAATGATTCTCTGTCATCATTGATGCTTCTGTTTTTCTCTTCCTTTCCCTTCCTCCATCTGAAATCAATAAAAATATACTAAAAAATAATACCAAAGGACAAACACTCAATAAGAGTATGATTAGCCTAATCTATACCACCACATTTATATAAGAGCAGTCAGATTGGCTTTATACACAATGTAATATTTGAAAAATGCACTATATACAATTAGATTTTAAGATTTAAATATGCATTAATAATATGGCACATACCAGTTCTCTTAAAGATATAAGGTGAAGGAAATAATCCTATCTAATAAAAGAGAAACATGGTAATTAGCCGTAACTCCGCTACCCTTCCCATTGGGTAATCAGGGCGATATGCAAATTAACTGCCAGCCAAGATGGCGGCCGGCAGCCAGGCAGCTTGAAGCGAACCTGAGGCTTGCTTACTTCAGTGATGGAGGAAGCCAATGTTCCCCGCCTTCCGCTGCCGGCCTCTGAGCTTGCAGTTTGAAACATTGTTACAAATATAGAAGCTAAACAAAACCCCAGAAACCTGCTTTCAGCCAGCCGGGATCTCAGAGCTGGAGTTGAAACAGTGTTTCGATTATAGAACCCAAACAAACCAGATACCTGCTTTCAGCAGCCGAGGCCTCAGAGCTGGAGCCAAGCCTCAGAGCTAAAGCTGGCCCAGAATAAAAAAAAAAAAGAAAAAAAGGAGCGGTTGGGAGCTTCAGTCACCCCCAGCCTGAAAACAGCCCTCAGCCCCTCACCCAGACTGGCCAGGCACTCCAGTGGGGACCCCCACCCTGAGGGGGTGTTACCAGCTGCAAACAGCCATCATCCCCTCATCCAAGCTTGTCAGGCACACAAGCGGGACCCCCACCCTGATCCAGGACACCCTTGAGGGCAAACCAGCCGCCCCTACCCATGCACCAAGCCTCTATCTTATATAGAAAAAGGGTAATATGCCTCCCGGCACCTGGATCAGCGTGACAGGGTGCGGCGCCCCAACCCCCTGATCGGCCCTGCTCTGTGTGTGACAGGGTGCGGCGCCCCAACCCCCCCCCCCACGGGCCCTGCTCTGTGTGTGACGGGGTAGAGCCATAACCTCCCCATCGGCCCTGCCCTGAGTGTGACAGTGGCAGCGCCCCCAAACCCCTGATCGGCCCTGCTCTGTGTGTGACAGGGGGGCGTGCCCAAATTCCCCTATCGGCCCTACTCTGTGAGGGACGGGGGGAGCTCCCCAAACCCCTGATGGGCCCTGCTCTGTGAGTGAAAGGGGGGAGCTCCCCAACCCCCTGATCGACCCTGCTCTGTGCGTGACAGGGTACGGAGCCCCAACCCTCCTGATGGGCCCTGCTCTGTGAGTGACAGGGGGCAGCACCATAACCCCCTGATTGGCCCTGCTCTGTGCGTGACAGGGGGTGGCGCCACAACCTCTCCATTGACCCTGCCTTGAGTGTGACAGGGGGCAGTGCCCCAAAGCCCCAATCGGCCCTACCTTGAGCATGACTGAGGGGTGGCATCACAACCTTCCGATCCGCCCTGCTCTGAGCATGAGATGTGGCAGCGCCCCAACTCCCCAATCGGCCCTGCTCAGAGCCCGACCAGGGGCTGCACCTAGGGATTGGGCCTGCCCTCTGCCACCCGGGAGCAGTCCTAAGCCAGCAGGTCATTATCTCCCAAGGGGTCCCAGATTGCGAGATGGCACAGGCCAGGCTGAGGGACCCCCCTTCTCCCAGAATGCACAAATTTTTGTGCACCGCGCCTCTAGTAAATGCTTTACTTGAGTGTCATCATACATCTCTAACTCCATTGCTAATATTATTTCAATTATATTTTCTTTTATTTTTGACCTGAGAAAACATTTTTCCAGCTTTTATTCTTCTTTATTTTATCTTATTTATCTTTTTAGATCTTTATTGTTGAAAGAATTACATGTGTCCACTTTTTCCTCCACTGACCCCTTCTAGCCTGCCCCACCACCCACCCCAGGCCTTCACCATCCTATTGCCTGTGACCATGGATTATGCATATATGCATACAAGTTCTTTGGTTTATATTTTCATTCTAATTATCTTTCTGCAAAATATAATATCAAATGAATGCAGATATTTCTCATTGAGGCAAGATAGAGTAACAGGTATCACATTTACCTTTCTTCTTGAAAAGTCTAAATATACAAACAATATGTATTTTTTAAAAAAGTTTTGAAAACCTGTGGCACAAAGCCACAAAGTACAGTAATTCTTCAGACAGAAAACAAATGAGGTGAGCCCTATAATATTCCTAACATATTGATTTGAGAGAGATTCTAAGTGAAATCATAAAAAGGGGGACCCATTTAGACTTTTATGTGCTTTTTTATTTGAGGAGATGCAGTTGAACATATGGAAGACGAAGGAAGGTAGAGTTTGCAGTACAGAATACTGGAAAGGATAGACCCATAGAGAGAAAGAGCACTCTGAAGATCTGTAGTGAGTCCAACTGATCATTGCATAAAAGTAAGGAAAATACCTAAAACTGGGAAAAAAAGAACAATACTTGAGGAAACAGACCTGGACACCATCTAGGGCCAAGAAGAATGTTTGTTCTAACCAGCAAGACTGAAAAATATCTTTATAAAGTTCACTGGGTGAAATAATCAGAAATATTTTGCCTACATAGTTGGAAAAAATCATCCTTAAAGTAAATCCTTTCTGCTCCTATCAAATACATATTAAGAACAAATGTAAAAGGATCAAATTAGTTTCAAGAAACTTGTCCTAAAGCAAAGCTTAAGAAAATTATAGGAATATAAAGATGTCTAATATTCAAGAGATAAAATGCAAAATGTGTGATATCGAGCATGCAAAGAAATACACCTGAAGAGATTAAAATTTTATCAGTCAACCTGACTCATCTATAACAACTGCAAAAATTAGCAGAGAAAAACAATAAATATTTTAAGAGCTATATTGCACATATTGAAAAAGCTAGAGGAAAGATGAATCTAAGAGTGGAAGTAAGGAGACAAACTAATGTTAAAAAATAAAAATTATAATTTGTGAAATAAAATATTTACTTTATGGGATTGAGTCATTAAAAACTACAGAAGAAAACATTAGTGGACATTAAGATACCTCAATAAAAATTACCAAAACAAAAATTAAGAGAAGGAATTGTTCTAAATAATTTGTGAATTATTCTTTAAGAACAACACAAGTAACTTTAGTTCACAAAGATAAGAGGTTAAACATACAGAAAATTTAAAGAAATTATGAACATTGACTAAAACACACACATACTAAAAGCTAAAAGCTCACAAAACCTAAAATTCTAACACAAACAAGCAAACAAACAAAAGATCAATACCTTAATATATCTCTCAAGGGATGATTTGGTCAATTCCTTGAAGCCAGTGTTAAAACAAAAATCATAAAGCAGTCAAAAAAAATAAAATAAAAAGACAAGATACAATAAAAAAATAAGGCTAAAGAAAACTTTTCAAATGAAATACATTCTAAAATTCCAGCTTGGCATTATACATTTACAATGACCTATATAGTAAAACTAGGGGCCTAGTGCAAGAAATTCATGCACTTC